GCTCCATCACGTGGTCAGACCACGCGCCCCTGGTTCTAGTCATACAAATACCCACCATCCCACAAAAATCATTCCAATGGAAACTTAACGACCTCCTTCTAAATAACCCAGAGATTGTCTCGCAGCTCAGAGACTCTATAGACAACTATTTCACCATCAATGCTACCCCATCCTCACCCCCACCTCTTATGTGGGAAGCGCACAAATGTGTGCTGAGAGGAGAAATAATAGCACTGGCAGCAAGACACAAAAAGATACGAGAGGCCTCCATCCGAACACTCACAGAGGACATACGGAAACTAGAAATCAGACACAAAACAGACACGCGACTAGACACTTACAAAGCCCTCACAGCTAAAAGGTCTGCCCTACAGGACTTACTAAATGCCAAAATCAAACGCACGCTCCTGCTGACAAAACACTCCTATTATGCACATGGAGGCAAATGTGGACGTCTGCTAGCTAACTCTCTAAAACAACAGAGGCAGTCGACCTTCATATCCAAAATTAGAACTCCCTCAGGAGCCATATCATATAAACTCCCAGACATACTATCAGCCTTCCAAGACTTCTACACCAGGCTTTACAATCTGAGGGACTCCCCCCCACCAACACAGGACATTGAACGCTTCTTGGCTTCCAGGGTCCACCAGACTATCCCCGCAAATGTTCTTCCGACGCTTGATGCACCTATAACCTCAGACGAAGTCAATTTTGCTATACGACACCTCAAACTGGGGAAGAGCCCAGGGCCAGACGGCTTCACGGCCAAATACTACAGAACATTCACCCACTCCCTTACTGAACCCTTCACACGGGCATTTAATTCCCTTGCCCAACCTGTCGCCTTCCCCAAAGCATCTTTGGAGGCGCATATAGCCCTCATACCCAAGCCTGGCAAAGACCCGACCAATTGCGGTAGTTACCGCCCAATATCTCTGATAAATCTTGATGTGAAATTGTTTACAAAAATATTGGCCACCCGCTTGAAACCTTTACTCCAAACCTTGATACATTCCGACCAAGCAGGCTTCGTTCCCAACAGAGAAGCAAAACACAACACCACAAAAATTTTAAACTTGATATATTTGGCAAAACGCCTACCAACGGAGAGCCTCCTGCTCTCAATCGACGCGGAAAAGGCGTTCGATAGAGTGGACTGGACATTACTGACTGCCACCCTGAGCAAAATAGGATTTGGTCCCAAATGGTTGGACTGGATGCAAGCCATCTATTCCAATCCCACAGCCAGACTAAGGGTAAATGGACAACTCTCGGAACCAGTACACATTAGAAACGGCACGAGACAGGGCTGTCCCCTCTCCCCCCTCCTCTTTATCCTCGTACTAGAACCCTTCTTAAACGGAATCCGGGACAACCCGGCTATCAGAGGCATTCAAATACAAGGGGCGGAGTACAAAATCTCAGCTTTCGCTGATGATCTACTCTTCACCATACAAACTCCCGACACTTCCTTGCCCCCACTCCTAGAGGAAATAGCCCAATACCATAAACTCTCCAATTTTCAGGTAAATTTCTCCAAAAGCGAAATCCTACCAATCCGAATAGCGCCCCTCTCACGCACAAGCCTGCAAGCCGCATTTCCCTTCACATGGGCGGATAAATCCATTACATACCTGGGAGTCCGTCTGTCGGCGGATCTCTCTTCCATCTTCACACTAAACTACGACCCACTATACCAAACTATCTCAAAAGACCTGCAAAACTGGCAAAAACCACAGTTCTCATGGCTATGTAGAATCAATATTCTTAAAATGAACTCCCTCCCCAAGATAATATACCTTTTCCAAACCCTACCGATAGCAATACCAAAGCCCTTTTTCACAAAACTTAGGCAACTTTTCACCGCCTTTATATGGGCACAAAAACAACCTAGAATTCCATATGAGGTTCTCACCAGACACAAGTCATGTGGAGGATTGGGCCTCCCACACATGGAAAGGTACTACAGGGCAACCATTCTTTCCAGGATTCACGACTGGTCCACGCACCCTCCGGCACGCCAATGGGTAACCCTTGAAAGTGCAGTGAGCCTAGTACCTCTTTACACACTCCCCTGGCAAAGAGTAATTCCCTCAGAATTGCTTTCCTGTTGCTCCGCACACCCCACCATCCTCCCCACGCTTAAGACATGGGTGAACATGCGGGAGGCTGAGAGTCTTTCCCCTCATCCATCTCCACTCTATCCCATCACTTACAACCCACTCTTCCCCCCTGGTATGCAACCCGGGACATACCAATGGTATTCTAAAATGCTGGACGCTCCCTACCTGACGTTGGGTTCAGTGGTTGAGAACAACTCCATACGAACACTGAGTGATCTGGTGGGCCCTGCAACCCCACATACACTACAAGCATTTCACTACGCCCAGCTGACGCACTTCTTAAGAGCCAACACGAGCTTGCTCGGGGGTTCCCGCACCCTCTCCGATTTTGAGACACACTGTCTAACCAATACCCCCAAAACCAAACAGCTTTCGACCTTTTATAAACTTCTGATGGCCGAACATAAAACCAAATTGCCACCCTTCACAGAATCCTGGCTAACAGACCTCAATGTACAAATCACGCTGCCTCAATGGCGGACTGCCCTTTCACATATTCACACGACATCCACATGCACTCAAATCCAAGAAAGTGGATATAAGAGAATATCCAGGTGGCACTACTCCCCGGCCAAAATCCATAACATTTTCCCGAACACGCCCGATGTGTGCTGGAAATGCTCCCAACCGAAAACGTCACTAGCCCACATCTGGTGGCATTGCCCACTCACACAACGATACTGGACCAATATTGTGAAGATGATCCATACTGTAACAGATACACAACTGCCTCTTACCCCCCACACTCTGCTGTTCCTGATCTTACCTACCCCAATTCCCAAGACACAAAGAACCCTCCTGCTACATCTTCTTACTGCAGCCAACCTGCTCATCCCGGTTAAGTGGAAACATACTGAGGTCCCCACGATCAGGGAATGGGTAGCCAGAGTAGAGTCAATCAGAACTATGGAAGAGATCCACGCATCCATCTCCCACAACTATACACTTTTTAGGGACACATGGACGCCATGGGTGAGATTCATGGCCGGTAATGCAGCCTGATTACCGGTGGGTCACACCCCTCCCTACTGGGTTACCTCCCCGGATGAGCCGACTGCTGTGCTGATTGGCAGTACGACACGTCCCTCCCACAATACCACCTGAGGTGATCAGAACAAGACACAGGACTCACGGCTCAGTTCACTTAGGTAGTCCTCACTCCGCCGCCCGCTAGACGCGCACACAACAACCCACAATTGCCGCCATGTAGGGCCGCTTCTGGCCTAGCTAAGACAGTGGCACAAAACAGGTAGGCGGGAGCTGACAACATTGATTCCCCACTTAACACCCATGACAACGACCTGGACTTCTGGCCCACAACCCAATATAGATCCTAGTAAATGGAAACACCCGATCTCAATACAAACTCGAATCTCAGCCTTAGTAAGTGTACCCGTCTCAGATGCATTAATGAAAACTGTATAAATTGTATAACTTTGACAAACCCTATTGATATGTACTATTTATCTGTCCGAATATGTACTTATACCTGTGATGTCAATTGCCACCCCAGATGCAAATGTTTTTGCAAGCACTCCCCTCCTTCTATTTCTGTACCCCTATACTACGATGGTATATACTCTTGAAAAACAATAAAATCTATCAAAATAAATAAATAAATAAATAAATAAATAAATAACATAGGAACATAGAATGTGACGGCAGATAAGAACCATTCCACCCATCTAGTCGGCCCAAATTTTCTAAATACTTTCATTAGTCCATGGCCTTGTCTTATAGTTAGGATAGCTTTATACCTATCCCACGCATGCTAAAACTCACTTACTGTCTAAAACTCTACCACTTCAGCTGGAAGTCTATTCCATGCATCCACTACCCTCTAAAGTAATACTTACTAATATTATTTTTAAACCTTTGCCCCTCTAATTTAAGACAATGTCCTCTTGTTGTGGTTGTGTTTAAATAAAAAAAAAACACCATCAAATAAACAGATGAATAAATAAAACACATTAACCAATTGAAAAAGACAAAGACTATGCATGGCAAAAAAAAAAAAAAAAAATTATCTAAAAACTATAATTTTGAACCAGATAGTTAATTTGTCTATTGGACACCCTAAACTTTGTACTCAACTAGAGGCAGCAACTTTCAAAGTCCAGTACAACCTATGCTTGACAGAGGTCATCCTGCAAATAGGACTTGTCTGTATCAGATAAAAATAATCTGCAATGACATAAAATTAATTGTTTGTATTGAAACCTCAAAATTTGAACACTTCAAATATGCCTAAAATACCATTATACACACACCAACACACCCCTAGAAATAACACATGATGGATTAATTTAATTTACTATAAACTTTGCATAAACCCATTAATACTTCTGCAATTAGATGGCTTTTAGTACTCCACTTTGTTAATTGGCTTTTGTAAGAGTTTAGACTTGGGAAGCGGCTGTTTAATGATATTCGTGCACTGGAGAGCTTCCAACACAGTAAGCTAGCAAGAGTCTTATGTATCACATTTAAATATGCACAATGTGTTTTTGTAATTTTGCGTTTTAGTACAAATGTTCAAAGGAACATTTACTTTTTTGAAATTTAAACTAGCTGGTATTTTCTGATGGTATGAGAATCTTTATATTATGATGGTAACATATTGTTCAATGGGTCAGTGTAAAATGTTCTGTAAGCACATTATTTCTGGTGTTCCTTAAAGTTGTTTTAGTAGCTAGCTTTCCTTTAAATTGGATTTCACTATCAGTTAAGAGATAGGTGATGCGCTTGTGCCTCTCTAGTCTCTTTCACTCAATATGTCATACATCTTCTTTCAGCAATCGCCAAGAATATGAAAGTGTACACAATATATAAAAATACCGGGGGGCGTGGCCGCCAACACGAGCGAGTGGATGCATGGCTCAGGAGCTCCGGACTCGAAAACACAGAAACCTCAAATATTTACTGGTACGGAGCCCACACAGCACACACCGGCCAATACCCCCACCAGAGACAAACATGGGACGTACAAATAAACGCTTTCACCCCCCAGAGGCACAAAAACAGCCTGATATCAGGCCAACATTTGAAAGGCCAGCTGCGGCCAGAACCAAGATGGTGCCCGCGGCAGAATGTGAGGAGCCATCCCAAGACGACAGGGATCAGTTCACATTCTCAGAGTCTGAAGACGGAACATCAGATGTAGAATCTGAAGATGACTCCGCTCCAGTCACCAAGGGAGTCATGAAGGACCTCATACAAGAGATACGCAGGCTCAAACTGAAATAGGGGTCCTCGGGCACAAAATCGTGGAAGTTCAGCAGAAAGACTGCACCCGTGAAAAACAAAAAACAGCCACCCAGAAACAAGTGGAGGACCTGGCACAGCAAGTCAGGGACCTCTCATGATCAGTGACCACCTTAGAGACGAGACACAGAAGGAGGTATATACTGGTGAGAGTACCAGAAGGTGTCAAGGAGGAGGCCCTGCTCCCATACATACAGGGGGTTGTGGCCTCCCTCCTAGCCAGAAACAACGCCAAGGATCTAATACACATGGCCTTCAGAATATGAAAAGCTGTGACTGCCCCTCCCGAAGCACCGAGAGACGTTATAGCCACCACCAGGGACATCGCGGTGAGAACCGCCATCATGTCTAGGTCCAGAACCCTCGGAACGGTCACCTATGAAGGAGGAGCAGTGTCCATATATGGAGACCTTCCTTTTGGAGTGCTGGCAGCATAAAGACACCTCGTCCCCACTGCAAGGCAACTGAGAGACGCAACGATCTGGTGCCGCTGGGGAGACGACGGATCACTAATGGTACCTCTGGGAACTGAGACCTTCATACTGACCCCAGCAGAAGACCCAAGAGCTTTCCAGCAGAAGCTGAACCTCGGGGCTGCCACCACGAAAGAGCCGGGACCTACCTGCATAACTAAGGAAACTGGGACACGATCCACCCCACACCCATGACGGGGACAACTAGGACTGACGGGCCTCGCACCCCACTAAGTTTCCCAGATGCAATAGTGAGACCCAACATACACATGCTCAATAGCGACACACTCACCTGACAAACTCGCGAAGGCAACACTGCACCGAGAACACAATCACTAGCAGCGACAACAGCACTGCCACGCAAGTACGCGACAAGACACACTAAATACACCTAAGCCAACAGTCCGGTCGACACACTCTGAACATCCTATGACTACAAACCTCGACAGTAAACAACGAACACAGACTCATGCAGAGACAGATGAGCAAACGTTTTCCTAATGTTATAATCGTTATGATATACTAAGAACAAATGTAAGATGTTAATTGACACTATACCAGATATCATACTACAAACCAGCTGTTTAACGTGTGATCATTTCTAATAAAATACAAATATATAAAAAAAAAAATTAAAAAATGAGAATTGTGGGAAATTAAAAAAGTTGACATAAAAATAGCCAAAAATACCCTGCGGTTTAAAAAGGAACTGAAAGGGAAAAAACACAAATAGAAAATAAACAAAACAGTAGATATGTAAAACAAAGAAATTAGACACTAATCGGCATTATGTGAGAATGCACTCACATGTACTAGAGCCATAAATAATTGGTTTAATATTAGGGCGTGTAGTCAACATACTTACAGCATACATACAGCATTCATGTAGACACCAATTCTGGTACTTGATGCTTAAGTGTCTTAATAGTGACATGCCATCATATAGAGCTATTTTTAGTTATGGCTCTAGAAAATGTGAGTGCATTGTCACATAATGGCTTCTAGTGTAATTAATTTGTTTTTTGCAGATATACTGTAAAATATTGTTTTTTTTTATTTGTGCTTTTTCCTTTCTAGTTCTGTATTAAAGAGTAGGGGAATTTTTATATATAGTATGCTCTTTCATTTTTTTTTCTTTCTGAGTATTTCTTAAATTGCTGGGGTTTTAGAGTGGTTACACCTATGAGTAATTTTAGCTGCACATATCTTGTTTCTTAATATGAAAGAGCTAATTAAGGGTTAACAGACATATAGTTTAAGTTCCAGGTTTTTTTTTTTGTTCAGAACAATTGCCTCCATCCATAAGGGATTACGTAAAAAGATCAGTTCTAGTACAAAGTGGTAGTCATGGCCAGATGGGGGCTGAAAACCAGCCCAGGAATTAATTTCATACCGGCCCTTTCCCTTCTAAATCTTGCAGAGTGCTAGCAGGTTTCAATTTAGGCAGCCATTAGTCATTAGTGTTTCTCTCCCCACATTAACTCCTGCCTTGAAAGGGAGCAGAGCCATCAATAGAATGGGCCCATGTGGACGCAAGCTAGGCTGATTGTCAGCCTCCTAGCAGACCACACTGAGGGCAAACTGTAGAGGAAGCGATTGTCCTAGCGCCCTCAGAACAGCATTAGTGCATCTAATCCACCTTCCTCTTAAATGTTTATCTGTCCAACTTGAGTTTCCTAAGTGATATCTGTGTGCTGACATTAGCAAGAAATTAAAAAGAACGTATCTTTTATTCATTTATTTACAGGAGTAATTATTTCTTTCAGCTCTGCCTTTAACATTTAATTTATTATCATTCGTAGGATTTGAGTTCTTTTTGTCTAATAGATCTTGTATTATAGTTTACTGGTGTTAGAACATGGTAAGATAAGAACTGTATATGAATTAACAGAATGATATCCATGAGACATTCATGTTAAAAATGTAATACTATCTGTTCATTTTCTAATAGTCTATTTCTTAGTTTATTGATTGAATGTTACTTTTCAAGATATACCAGCATTTGATAGGTGCCTGATAAGACTATGTATAGAATTTTGGCAAGAAATATGGAACTTTTGCATGAATTTCTTAGTGAATATGAAATATTATCTAGCAAAATTAGAGTTTTAGACCAAATATAGGTTAAAATGACCTACATGAGTAAATAGACATATCTTTGTTTAGAAAAAAATAATGCAAAACATAAATTATTACTTTCAATATCTGACAATAAAACAGTCACTATTAAACATTGTAAATATCAACTGAAGGCAGTTGTTTGCTGCTAAAAATATCTGGTGCACAAAAAAGATGGTTAATGAGCTGCTGCCTTAGAAACACTAGCAGAGTTGTTTACTACCGTGAGATTCAAAGTGAATTTAAGGTCAAAGTAGCCAAACTGAAAGCATAGCGGACTTAAAGAATTTTTTCAGGTTACCTATTTTGACCTTAAATTTGAAATTCAGTTTAGTAAATGACCCTCCAAGGTTTCTATGCTACAGGGGTATTGCTAGGCTGGCTAAATGATCAAACGTTTACAGCAAATTGGGAAAAAGCAGCACATCTGGTAATATGTTAATTATTGAAGATTTTAATTAACCGACATGAATTGGGATAGAGGGACTAGGAGTTCAGCAAGGGAAACCAGGTTTTTTCAAACCTGTTAAATGACCCCTTCATGTCACAATTGGTAGAAGCACCAACTAGAAATGATGCATGTCTGGATCTGGTCACAAAGAACAATGTTTGTCAAACTTTCAAATAGGGGAGTACTTGGTAAATAGTGATCGAAATATGGTCTCTTTTGAAATAAACTCAAAATAAATCACACGTACATGAAGTATACTAAAACATAGACCAATTAATACAAGATAATGGCAGATTTACAACTCCTTAACTGGCAAAAACTCTTTAGTGGACAAACACCTAAGATAAATGGAATATCTTCAAACAAATATTAGAAAAGTACTATTTTCTTAGCCCGGTACAATCAGGGGGATGATCAGTGTTGGAAGTGCAGGTGGGAGATGGGTACCCTTCTTTGCCTATGGTGGAACTGTCCTATGGTCCGCCCATTCTGCAGGTCAATACACACAATCATAAAGAGGCTTACAGATAATCCACCTCCCCTAAACCACCTGTTACATTACACTAAGCTTCGCTCTTCTATATACGAAAAGTCCTTGATATAAGGACTCTAAATGTGGCCAAATGCTTGATATCTGTATTTTAGAAGATGGAGGCACATCCTCTTACTCTTTGGTTCCAATGCACGTTGGAGCCCTGCTTCATGGAAGAGTTCATATTTAATACCAGTTGTAACGATATTACCCAATACGCAGAGTGAAAACCACCAGAACAATAGAGACAGATAGAAAGTCCCTAAACCGGTCCTTAGAATGGCCGAATAATAATAGAAACTACAAGAAATGCCAGAAACAAGCCAAGGTCAAGGGAAGCCAGAAATACACAATAGTGAAGAACGTGGCCGAGTCAGGGAAACCAGAAATAAGAATAGTCCAGAGCAAGCCAGGTCAAAACCAAAGAACTATCAAAAGGACACAGGAACACCCTGAGGGGACACTAGGGACACAAGGCACACTTGGAACCACAACAGGGCACTGTTTTAGAGGTAAACTGGGCTTTTATATGATTGGGGCATTATCATAATCATGCCCCCAAAAGGTACGTATGCATTGAGCTCTCTTAAGGACATGTCATGATTCCCTTTTATTCCAGAAGTTTGGTCCTTAAGGGTTTAAAAGGGGCAGGCACATAGCGGCCGGCATCCCTGATGCTTAATGTATCCTTTCCCAATGTGGGAGCGGCGGTCCAACCAATCCCGATGTCGGCAGACTGGCGGACCAATAAGGTAAGTGGCATGAGGCTTACACCAGTGGATATTTAATCATTGATATACATGGATATCTGGACCCATTCAATATAATCTACAGATTCTGCTGAATTCTAGGCTCTTCTACAATAGAGTAGAGGACTTCCTTCTGCTGTGTGGGGGTTAGATATGGTGAGGTGGTCACTTGACTGACAACACAGGAGTAGGATCATGACTTGTGTAGTGCACACCGTGGATCTGAGAATTAGACTTGGCGTAATGGAGGGAGGGCTAAGGTGATTCCCATGTATAAGATTTTGCTCTTAGGGATGGGTTGTGCATATCAATACATCTAAAAATACTCCACAACTTTATCATTACTCTTATATGGTGTTTCCTTCTTCTCCTCTCCTCCTCTTATTCTGCATCACTTAGTAGAGAGGGACAATTTATTTATGCTAGGCTCCAGACCTTCATGTCTCTTGTTCTTATACACATTTGGAGATTTGCAAATCTCTTATATTGAAAATACATGTTTACTATTTTTGAGACCTGCATGTGGAAAAGTAAAGCAAGAAATTAAAAATAAGAAAAGGGCATATAAAACATTTAAATCAGACAAATCGGTGACATCCTATATAAACACAGTTTAAGGAAGCTAATAATACCTGTAAAAAGGCGACTAGAAAATGATA